CCACATGCTCTTATTCTTGAAGGCAAACAGTTTATACAGAGCCTGGCACCCTCTAAACACATATATTTAGAAGGCAAGAATACAAAACCTAACCCCTTTTTTCATGCTGATTATGGGTCATTGGCTTACACACACACTCACACAATTACTTTGAAAATGATGTTGTAGATGCCACAGGTCACTAATGTTCAAACCCACTAATTAAAAAATTATAAAAGGAATTGTGGTCATTGAATTGGATGACTACCTTTTTTTAACTATGCTGGACAAGATTTTTTAAATGCAGGGCAAGTAGTATGAAAGGGATCAAAGAGTGAGTGCTGCTAATTTCATATTTGGTTTTTAGAATAAAGTCAGAATTGAATGAAATTGAGCAACTATAAAATTATAGTTTTATTTGCAGACTAGTGTGTTGGAACCTTCTGACTTGAAGTCAGACAAGTTCTCTAAGGCAAAATGATTTCTGAAGAGTACATACTTCAACCCAGGTGAGAAAATTTTCTTTAGTCAGAACTCTAACTCTGAGGAAACACTTGCAAGGCCAGCATTTTACCCATTGTACTATTGCTCTAGTTCCCAAAGTTTTTTTGTTTGTGTCTAAACCTTACCACATCAAATGTGCCTCCACACCCAGGGCTGCAAGATGATTAGAAACAGAATATTTGTTCTACCCTGAAGTTGTTGAATCTGAATTTGAGTCTTTATAAGTTTCCCAGGAGTGCCTAATACTTCTTTATATTAAGGAAGCCTGGCTGGACCAGCTGCCTCCGTAGAGTATCTTTAAAATGCATCTTTACTCTCACTCCCCTCTAGTTCAGGACAGCTAAGGGGACTCTGGGCTTTGTGGACACATCACCTTACTCTCCATGGAGCTGACTGCAAGGTCTGGAAGGAAAGGAAGGAGCAATGGAGAGCTAAAGTGCCCATAAAGTGGTCCCACACTCTGGTTCTGAAACAGTGTCAGACGCTGCTCCTGGATCAAATGCTGGTGGCAAGGGAGTGCAGACCCATGGTCAGGGTCTGTAATGAAAGCCGGTAAGATTTGACACAAGAATGGCCAACTTGGAGCTCAGGAACATGCAGAAAGACTCAGTCACATTTCTAGGTGCATGGGCAAATGTCCTACTCTCCTGCCACATACAGGGAGGCAGGTCAGCTCTGTCATTGCAGTGCTATGTCCAATTGTACACTAAGTGAAACCAAGATGGCAATTTGATGTTTGCCATTAGGTGGGACATTTATACCACACAAAATGGCCAAGGTCAACTAGAAATCATCCTCCCTTACTCCCTTGCTTCCTTTTATCCTCATTGAAAGGTATTTTTATCCTTTTATAAATTGATATCGTGTGATTCACAAGACTATATGCTTCAGGGAGAAAATTTCACACGTTGGCAAATATGTGTTAGCATAACATGCAAAGTGTCTTCTCCACAGTTCACGGGACTCCCTCCACCCTTCCTCTCTACTCTCTGCTCAGCCCCATTTGGAATTATTCCAAAAAGTGTGTGTGTGTGTGTGTGTGTGTGTGTGTGTGTGTGTGTGTGTGTGTGTATACATGCTCTTCATGTACTCACTTGTAGTTGGGAACTAGGGGTTTTGTATATGTCAAAGAGCATAGGTATTAGAATCATTTGTCAATATCTGCCAGAATATTCTTGGACATTCACGACACCCAAAGTAGAAAGATGTTTAATGGTATTCAGTATCTGAAAAGGTTCTCCTTTAGTCAAGGAAATTTAAAAATGTGTGAATAGTGGAAGCAGTACAGATAGATATTTCCTGGAACTTAAAATTTAGTCAATCATCATGCCACTTGAAAAGTTGCTAAGCAGACAGTTTTATTTATTTATTTATTTTTGCATATGTACACTTTGAATTACAAAGTTACAAAGATATTGGTGTTAGGTTTATATTGTTCCAACATGAATTCCTTCACCAGTACCAATGTCCCCAGCTTCCCTGCCATCCCAAAGCCAGACTCTGTGGCAGGCACTTCTTACCTCCTCCATTGTCCTAATTACTGACCTCACCCCTGCTCCAGTGCCAAGCTTCCTACTGAAGATCATCAGTTCTTCTACTCCTTGTTTCTTGTGGCCATTGGGCATTTGCTATTTGCTTGTGAGGTTCTTTAAAATCCCACATATGAGAGATCATTCTGAGCAGACAGACTCTCAGTTTTGCACAAACACTTCACAATAGTTAGAGCTCTGCAGGATACCATGCCTCTCCCTCGGATTCTTCACCCCATCGGTTCCTGGTTCTCATTCTGTCTCATAGAGCTAAACTCAGAGCTCTCTTTTACTTTCTCTTTCTATCTCTGAAGTTGTCAGTGTTGCACATAGCATTATCAAAAGTACCTGGTGTGCCTTACACTTTTGGAAAACGTCCTTACATGTGTGGATCTATGAGGATACTCAGGAAAGAAATTTGGTTTGCAAGACAGAGAAACTGGGTGCAGGCCCTAGTTACACCTCTGGATATGCTTCCTTCCCCTCTGGTGGACACACAAGACTAGCAAGTTTGGACTTCTTTCTCAAGGTCTTGAAAGCTCAGATGCCTCAACTGCACCTCATCCTAGAATTCCACTTTTTGTTTGTTTTTGGGCCACACCTGGCAGTGCTCAGGGGCCATTCCTGGCTCTGTGTTCAGGAGCTACCCCTGGCAGTGCTCAAGGGACTAAATGTGGTGCAGGCATTTGAATCTGTGTCACAGCCCAGATTAGAGAAAAACAAATTTGATGCTTCTCTTTGCTTCATTATAATAACTCTGCCCTGGACAGTGGTGCTTGTTTTCAGGTTTTGAGTTCTTGAAATTAGTGGTAGTTCAAGCTTGAAAGTCCATACTGGTCTTCATCCAAGGAAAGCAATTTGAACCTCAAATTGAACCTGGAGTAGAACCATGCCTTTTAATTTTCTTCTGAGACTACCTGTCTTTTGAAAAATTCTTCAAGAGACATCTACTCTGATTTCTGTTATGGACACTGCTTTCCTTTGGACAAACCTCCCAGTTGCTCTCCTGCTTATGCCATGTGCTGCCAGCTGGACTCTTCCTATTTCTCAGTGGAGACACCTATGATTCCTACCTAGCTCTGGGCTCTAGCTCCTCCCAGACTGCTCATCTGCTGTGCATAGGAAGAAAGGGCTCCTAGAACCTGATACTGAATCCCAGAAGTAGTGCGGTCATAGAGATTCATTCATGCAGTTCACTTTTTGTCTATAAAGACCTGTCTACCCTGTTGGACACTGTTGCTAGTTGAATGCTGCTAATTTGGATGTGAGTAAAGTGGACAAAAAATCCAATTCACTGCAATACTAGGGCATGTGCTGATAAGTCTATGAACACAGTACATACTGAATCTCATGGTTTTACATGCAGATACCCAACCATTTGGAATACATACAACCAGGTCTTATGTTTATAGAAACGTAAATGTTAGCCACATTTTGTTGATACAAATGTCTTTCAAGAATAAAACATTTAAAAACACAACAAGGAATGTATGTGTATATTTATGTGTGTGTGAGAGAGTATTCACTTGGAAGAATAAAGAATAGAGGTAGTAACCCAGCTGCGTTCTCACAGGGCCTTCCATCAAGCCTTCCCTGGGAAGGTGGGGATAAAGGAGCAAAAGGGAATCCTGCACCAGAAGATCCCAAACTAGCTGGGAACGTGCTGAACATTAAAAAAGAAAAATCTTCTTAACTAAATGTTTATTTTTATTTATTAGTTTTTATTGCATCACCGTGAGGTAGAAGCAGGCTGATGGGAGGAGTGGTGGGGAGGGGAAGTCGGAGCCTGCTGGGCATTTTAAGAGCAGGGTGCCAAAACTGCGCGGGACTCAGAGGTAGGATCTGCTTTTTGGGGGAACTTCTTAGCCTAAGATCTGAGTTCCATCCCACCCAGGGCCCCTTTAGTTCATGAGAAAACAGGGGGCCGGGTGCGAGGCTCTCGCGGGCCTCCACACTTTCTTCCAGCACGGAGTCCTAGCAGGCGCATCCCTCCAAGTCTGGTCAAACTGGATCACTTGGTGGTGCATCCATCAGTAACACGCCTTGCAAGAGCTGCTGCACCTGTCACTCTGCAATTGAGACTTGAACATGGACCCAACTTCGGTTTCTTTGAGGCGGGTTCGGAATGACATAGGTTAAGTTCCTGAAGTTGGGCCGATCAGCTTGCTGTGGCAGCAGCCGCGTCCCGGGTTTGTCCCCTTCCAGGCTGGCCCCTGAGTTCATCGCCAGGCTGGGACCCTCGGCATGCTTCCGAGGAGGGTTTAGCGCTCCCGCTTCTCGGGATCCTCCGAGTCTGGGTGGGTTGGTCTGGGACTGGGAGGGCGCTTCTCACAGAGGGCCCTGAGTGGGGTGGTCTGGGAGGGAACTTCTCACGAGCTCCTGGCTGCGCGGCTGGAGGTTGTGCGGGGCTCGCGAGCAGACCCTGGCCCTGGGCGCTCCCCGACCCGAGCTCCCGCAGCTCCTCGGGGTTGGAGGAAAGAGCCCTCGCCGGGCGTCGCCTGCTGCTGCTAGCTGGAGCCGGATCATTTGCCTGGACGTTACCCGTGTCTGCTTGGGGTTGCCCAAGAGCTCCTGGGCTGGACCGGCCCTGGAGGGCGGGACGGGGCACAGCAACTGCAGGAGGGCGGGGACGTGGCCCGGCGCGCGGGGGCGGGGCGTAGAGGGGGCGAGCGCGAGAGGCGGGGCGGGGCGAGGGCGGGTTGGGGGCGGAGCTCCGGGGGACGCCGCGGAGTCGGGCAGGCAGGGGCGGGGCTTGGAGGCGGCGCCGTGCGGCACCGCCTAGTTGAGCGGGAGGGGGCGGGACTAGGGGCGGGGAGGGGGCGGGGCTCGGGGGCGCAGCTGAGTCGGGCAGGCTGGGCAGGGTGAGGGGCGGGGCGGGAGCGGGGTGAGGGGCGGAGCTCCGGGGCGGGGAGCAGAGTCTGGCGGGGAGGAGGCGTGGCAAGGGGCGAGGTTGGGGCGGGGCTCCGGGCGGGGCGGGGGTGCGGCGCACCTTGCCGGGGCGCCCCGGCTTCGCGTCTCGCTTGCCCCTCCCGCTGGCTGCTGCCCCCGCCCTTGGGCTCGGGCCCGTTGCTGTCCCGCCCGGCCTGCGTGGGAGGCAATGGGTCAGCGCGGAAAAAGTGAATGAGGGCGGCGGCGCGGTACTCGGCTCCATGGACCCTGCGCGGGCCGCGGCGTGCAAGCCCCCCAGCGGGTAAGCGTGGCCGGACTCAGGCTCAGCTCGGCTCTGGGGGCTGGGGGTCGGGTCGGGGGGCTTGGCTCGGGCTCGGCGCTCCGGGGACTGGGCTCGAGGTTCTGGGACTCCGGGAGGCGCGGAGGCGGGGCGCGGGCTCCCCGGGGGTCCGGGCGCGTGTACTGAAGCCGTCTCCCGGGTGACCGTGCGGGGTGTTCGGTCTGGGGGTCTCGGTTGGACCGAGCTTCGCTGCTCTCGCCGCCTCCTGGCGCGTCCCCACCCGGGTCCGTCTGGGGCGGGGGCCGCCTGGGCAGCAGGAGCGGGAGCCCGGCCGGCCTGCACCTGCTCGCGGGGCAGCGACGGGCTCCGGCGAGCCGGCCGGACAGCTGACCCCTCTTTCTGCAGCTGCCCCACGGACCGGCTCCGCCCTGGCTGTCCAGGGCTGAACAAAGTCTCTAAGATGGCTTGCGACACCCCAAACAGCAAAGAGCCTAGTCGCCGCACCAATCGAAAAACCAAAACAAACCAAAAAGTATCCTGGGGTGCGGGATAGGGGTGCGGGGAGTGAGTTAACAGACAAGTGACAGGTTGGAGACTGAGGGGTGCAGAAGGAGTGGGAGAGCCCCTTCCTCAGCCCAGGGGGTTAGGGAATGCTTGCAGGACTAATAGCCCACAAGAAAAACAATTTGGGGAAACCCAATTTGGGGCAACCGGGTGTAGTAGTTATCCCCCAGAATGACACAGAGGCATGTAAAATAGAATTCTATCTGTAGCTTAGTGTTGAATAAACTTGTTTAAAGAAGACTGAATGGATTTATCAACTTTTCTCATACATAAATATATGTGAAGAAATATTAAGTCAAGAAAATTACATGCAAAGTTCATTTGTAAAATTCTTGAAAAGGATCTGAGAAGTGATAGAATGACTCCTCTGACTGGCCCTGCCAGTCAAGTCAGCAGGAAATTCAGGCTGACTCTTCTCAGTTCCTCCCTGAGCAGGAGACTCCTTCCCGCTCAGATCCCCAGGGAAGTGCAGAAAGAACCTTTGCTGGGGATGAACCAACATACCTGAAATTCCCATTCCTAATGCACTAGGTTTTGTTCCCTGCTCAGATCCACAGCATCTGATCACTGGGTCTTACCAAGAAATGTAGACTCAGTTTTAACTTCTGTTTTGCCTCAATTATCTTGTCATCTGTCCTTTGTTATAGTATTGTTAGTGTAGACACAATAAACCAATGGATTTATATTTGCAAGAATGATATGGAGTAAGAGCCTTAGTGCTTTGAGTGGGGGGTGTTTGCCTTAAATTTGGCTAACCTGGGCTTCAATCCCTGGCACCCCATTTGGTCCGGGGACACTACCAGGAGTGGTCCCTGAGTGCAGAACCAGGAATAAGCCCCAAGCACCCTCCCGGTGTGGCACAGAAACAAACAATAAAACCCAAGCAGATATGTAAGAATGATATGTCTTATAGTAAGCTTTTGTCTTTCCTCTTGAACCTGCTCTGTAGCTTGAGCAGCAGTGTTTACTGCGTGCCCTGGAGATTTTTAGCTGCTTCAGTTGATGGCTCTCAAATCAAATTTTCAGTTAACTCATATTTTCATGTGTTATCAAACAGCTGATATGTTGATTTTGTTATGACTAAAAGAGTCAGTTCTCAGACTATGTAGACAAAGCATAAATAATTTAAGTTGATTTCACATTAGGCAATAAGGTCTACAGCATGTTCTTCTTGAGGACTACTAAAGGAACAGATAAGTTCATTCATATAAATTCATAAATATGGTTGAGTAAATTCTTGGTTGTTTCTGTTGCAAATGCAAGCTTAAACTTTTAGTTGGTTTGAAATTATGTTTATTAGTGGGCTTATTCAACCAAGGACGTTGACTAATTTAACTGGGAAATTTTTCAGAATGAACTTATTTTTAGAAGGAATTTTAGAATTACAGTACTAAGCTCTTTTAGAATATAAATCACTGCAAATGATCTTCTAGTGATGTCAAAATATATTTAAGTCCATTTATAAGTTTATGAGGTTTATTCAGGTATTAATTTTAAAACACAAGGTTAAATTTTCCATTGGGTCTTTATGAGTTGAACAGAATGCCTGGTAGGGTTTTTGTTTGTTTTGTTTCCACTATGGAGAAAACACATTTCTATAGCATAGAATAGTTTCCTGTGACATAGTCAAAACAGCTTATACATTTGACCAATGACTGTATTAAGCACCTTGATTATGTAAAAATTACTAAAAGTTTGGGGATAAATTTTGTCTGAGTTTTTAGTAACTTAATCTAATTATTAGACCAAGAAAAAATTTCAGAAAGTTAACTGAAGTGGGTAACTTGAGCTGGCCTAGTCCTGTCAACACCCAACATATTATTGAGTCGAGAGTAAACATGGGCCTGCTACAATACAAGCTTCTGTTTCAACTCTCACAATCTTACAAATATTCTTGGGATATTAACAAATATGCAGCAGAGAAAAGAAAGCAGCTTCAGTTTCTAGGCTGCTTGTTTTTTTTTTTTCTCGAAAGCTTTTTTTTTTTTTTTTTTTTGGTAATACATGGCGATGCACAGGGGTCACTCCTGGCTCATGCACTCAGGAATTACTCTTGGTGATGCTCGAGGAACTTATGGGATGCTGGGAATTGAACCCGGGTGGGCCACATGCAAGGCAAACGCCCTGCCTGCTATGCTATGGCTCCAGCCCCTCGTAAGGTTTCTGAACTTTTAGGCTGATATATTTACATCTTTTAAGAGAGAATATATCATGGTTACATTAAATATCCTATTTAATTTGAATTGTATTTCTTTAAAGATGCCACTTCTGAGCTGTTCTTTGTGTTGACAGTTCACTTGAGAAAGGAAAAGTGAGGGTTGAAGAGATAGTACAGGGGTAAGGTACTATTTGTCTTGCATTCAGCCCACCCTCAGTTTTACCCGTGGTATCCTCAAGTATGGTGCCAGAAGTAGCCCCAGGGCATCAGATAGGGCCAAATCCCCAACTCCCCACCTCCCAAGAAAAGGAATGTAAAACTGGAGAGGAATGTAAAAGTGGAAAATGTAAAAGTGAAAAAAGGAATGTGAAAGTGGGCCTGCCAGCAAAAATCAGTGCTGTTTTTGTGTGCCCTTGGTCTCCTGAGCAACCCGGGCTCCACCAAGTGTGACCCAAACCTACCTCCCCGCCCTCCCCCCCCCCCCCCCCACACACACACACTGAAATAAGGATCTAGAAGTAGGCATGACTGGAAGTGGAAAGTAGACTTAGGAATTTTATCATTTGGATTTTTTAGTGAATTAGAAGATTTGGTTATTTTCCTTAAACACTAGTCAGGTGTTAATAACAGATGAGGAAACTGAAGTATGATGGAATATGAGGTCTCTGCTACCCCTGAGGCCTGACTGTATTGTCCTTGCTTTGGGGGCCTTGCCTACCTGTACTCACTGGCTTGGTACTCAGGAGTCATTCCTAGTGGTACTCAGGACAGTGTGGTATGGACATTGAACCTGGGACTCTTGTGTGCAAAGCCTCATTCTAGTTCACACAGCTGTTTCCCTAGGTCCAGTAATGTGTTGGTTATGTGTGTGTTCTTCTCCATCCTCTCGACGGTTGGTTCACCCACATTTTGTTCTGGGGTTTATGAATTTTATAGACTGGCTAATTTTAATGATGTGATTTTTCAGTGACTTTTTGGTTTTGTTTTGTTTTGGGGGCCCACCTGGTGATTCTCAGGGGAGGGGGACCATTTGGGGTGCTGGAGATGGAACCCAGGTCAGCTACATGCAAGGCGAGCATCCTGCTTACTGAACTATTGCTCTGGTCCCTTCAGTTACATTTTAAGGTCAAATATTTGATATTTGAAAAAATATATATGCATATATATTATATATATAATAAGCACAATATCTGTACTTTTCTCTACTTAAATATTTAATATTGATTCATATATCTTGATAACATTGATAATTTGCCTATTATATCTTTTATGATAGCCGTTTATTTTAGTGAATTTTAAGTTGTACCATGTATGCTTTACTCCCTCCATTTTATGTGGTACACTGTATTGTCAGCACCTCTTGTCAGCATTCAACACCTGCACCACCAGCAACATTGTGCCATATCTTCCTGTGCACATAGTCCTCTGTTTTTCACCTGTACCTTTCTATACTAGCAGTCACCTTTTTTCCCTTGTGTGTCTTTTGTATGATTTTAGTTTTCCAGACATAATAATGGTATATATTCTAGAGTAGATTTTGCTGTGAACTCTGGTGTGACAAAATGATAATGGGTCTCTAATAGTTTCTGTATACGTTACTTCCCATTTGTGAAGGTTCCCAGTGTTTTGAGTAAGCTCCTTAGGAGAAAGTCGGGGAAAACTTCTCTACTTTTAAGGTTTTAGCAAACTTTTAGCAAATTTTTCTCAATTAAGCATTGCATTCTTTCATGGCAGGATCGTGTTTTCTAAAGGTTAATTCCTATTTGAACAAATTTCATAGCCCCAAAACTTTATATTAAAAAGTGGATGGGGAGGGGAGGAAGTTTTTGAAACAATATCTGATTTAGACATTTAGAAAGTTTTGATTAGATAGATTCCCAGACCACAGATGTGTTTCAACAGACTCTGTTGTAGAGCTGAGGTCTACCTCCACCAAAATAAGTATAACTTTTTAAGAGATTCTGATTGGTTTATGTAAATCATTGAAGTTCTTAACCCTTTTTAAATTGAAAAAAGAAAAAACCAGTACTGGAAACATGAGATCCAAACTACAACAAACCAAACTTAAAAATGTGCCTGCTCATGAGGCAGGCTGGGGCTGGGCGGGAAACTGGGTACATTAGAGGAGGGAAGTAGACACTGGCAGTGGAATTGGTGCTGGATTATTATATATATAAAACTCAATTACAAACATCTTTGTAAATCATGGTGCTTAAAAAAAGCAACAAAATAACAAATAACACATGAGGCCTTGAATTTGTTCAGTTTTGATCTAACAAAAAGCAAACAAGTAACACTG